CTGATCTCTGAGTTATAAACGTCAGGCGAACTGCTGTGTCAGTCTCTAGCGATTCGCGCGCCCCAAGACGATGTCGCATCAAACGTTGACCAGACCTGACAACATTTCCATATCTCGGAGCCTTGAACGACTGGCAGCGAGACCCCTGTCGGCCAGTGTAGTCTCAGTGAGGTCAACTTTATGCTAGGTGCCGACACTAGCGCCAAAGCGCGTCTTGTGGGCAGACCACAGCCCACAGCGCCTGTACGGAGGATCTGGGGGCTGCGAGACACGCCAAATGCAGTGCACACATGCACACAAGGCACAAAAGCACCAATGCTTCACGTGATTGATTGACCCAGCCTCTTCGGCCCCAAAGAACCGGACATGGAGAGCCACACCCTCCGACGGCCTACCGCCCTGCCGCCCACCCACGAGCGACGAGCAACGAGCCATGCGCCATGGGCGATGAGCTCCCCTGTTATGGGCCAGTGGCGGGCCGTTGCCGCCTGTCCTGGCAAAACTGCGACTTTTCCCGAGCAACTTTCAAATCTTCTTCACCTTGCAGCCGACGCAACAATTCCCTCGAACCTCCACGACAGGGCCCCATTGACACCCATTGTCAGCCCTCGAATTACGTCCTCACCTCCGGATCGCTTCTCGCATCTGTCGCGCACCTTGCGACCGTAATTTCCAATGGCCTCGACTGGCGTCAACGTTGGTTTCCCGCCCTCAGTCGTCTCCTATTGTGCGGCCGCTTCAGGTCGCTCATAGCCGCCCAGCCATCGCCTGCAACACCGGCGACATGCAATTGGGACGGCAAATTTTAAATGATTCGCATGGTCGAACGCTGACTGGGTTGTCAATAGGTTCTCCGGTGGTCCGCGCTCGCCGTGGGCGTCTTCTACGGATTTTCTCATCAGAGAACGATTACTACTACACAACGGGCCGAGCATGCTAAGCACGAATGGGAGAGCAAGCAGAAGTTGATAGATCAGGCCAAGGCCGAATACGCGAAGAAGAACAATCCTTCTCCCGCAGCTGCTTCCAAGAATGATGGTATGTTGGCTTCTCAAGATATACAGCCACCCCACCCCCCGGGGCTCATCTCCCGTGTCAAAAAACACTGTGTCTATGCCGAGCAGAAGACTAACCTCCGTGCGCAGTTGTCACTGATGTCAACGACCCCAAGTTCGATCTCGAGAAGCTGCTGTTGAAGGTGTCCCAGGAGAGCCCTTAAGCGATTAATCCGGAGACGGGGCCGATAGAGGAGATGGATAGCTGATAACAAAACGAATTGGGAGGGAGGATGGATCTGCTACTTGTAAAGGACTGAGAGTCTGCCAATGCCTCTATAGGGTCCAACTTATGGCAGAATCGCTGTATGATGGAGACTACGCGAGGCGCTACTGCATAGAGGTTTCCTTACGTTCCTGTTTACTCATGTGTACAGGTGTAAAAATACACACAATCTAGACGGCAACATTGAAATGTTTCCACATAAAGACCGCCGCCAAATACTTGAAGGCCAGCAATGACTACCAAGGTTCACGTGTCTCATAACGGTGTACATAGTTCGAAGTGCAGCTATTCACGAATTTAAGGGAAAATGCTATCTTGTCCAGCCCTCATGCTTTGCACATCTCGTGTGTAAATCTCTTGAGCAAGCCATAGTAGATCGTAGCCACATAGCAACGGTAATCACTTGCCGATTCAAATATTGATCAAGCCTTGAATTGAGTGCGTGAAATGGTGGTAATAGTCCATTGATTGCTCGTCACAGCCTCACAAGCAGTCGTGTCAGGGAAAAAATGGGACCAATGAGAGGCGGCTTCGATGTGACGACGGCCCCACATTTCACTCGACCACGCTCAATGCTGCCAGAAGCTCCAAGCTGTCCTCAGTCCAAAGTGTGTGGTGTCAAGTCTGGTCGTCGTCGTCGCATCAAGACCGGAGAACCTCCCTCTCCATCAACCTTCAGGGCAACCATTGCCAGTAGTCGTCGCCAACATGACGACCGAAGCCCAACCACGCCTTGATGGCGTCAACACAAAAAGCACACGGACTCTCTTGAGAGTTGTCATTCTTCTTTTCACCGCCGGCGCTGCCATCTCAAGTCGACTGTTCTCGGTGATTCGTAAGTCCCGTCCATCTCGAGCAGCAACCGCTCTGGAGTCGCTGCCAGAGAGCCAACTACTCCAATGCGTGTCACACAGATACTGACCTGTTTCAAAAAGGATTTGAAAGTATTATTCACGAATGTCGGTTCCCTCGTTCATCTCCAATCAAAAACATTGCCGTAGTATAGAACTGACTAAAACTAGTCGACCCCTGGTTCAACTTCCGAGCGACCAAGTATCTTGTTGCGAACGGATTCTACAAGTTCTGGGATTGGTTCGATGACCGAACCTGGCATCCTCTTGGCCGCGTCACGGGAGGTACTCTGTACCCAGGTCTCATGGTTACCAGTGGCGCCATCTACCACGCCCTCAAGGCGCTGACTATTCCCGTGGATATTCGTAACATCTGTGTTCTGCTTGCTCCCGCTTTCTCCGGGCTTACGGCCTACGCATCATACCTCCTGACCAATGAGATGACCACGTCTCCGTCTGCTGGACTTCTTGCTGCTGTATTCATGGGCATAGCGCCCGGCTACATCTCACGATCGGTCGCCGGAAGTTACGACAACGAGGCCATCGCCATTTTCCTTCTCGTCTTCACCTTCTACCTGTGGATCAAGGCCTTGAAGCTGGGCTCTATGCTCTGGGGCGCTCTGTGCGCTCTGTTTTACGGCTACATGGTGGCATCGTGGGGTGGTTACGCCTTCATCACCTGTCTTTTGCCCCTCCATGCCTTTGTTCTTATCTGCATGGGACGCTACAGCACTCGCCTTTACGTCAGCTATACCACATGGTATGCTCTGGGAACCATTGCCAGCATGCAGATTCCCTTTGTTGGCTTCCTCCCGGTGAAAACCAGCGAGCACATGCCCGCGCTAGGTATGAACGTCAACGTGTTGGAGTCAGTCCCAACTTACAGCATGCTAATTTTTGGCCAGGCATCTTCGGCTTCCTCCAGTTGATTGCCTTTATTGAATATGTACGATCTGCCATTCCTAGCCGCCAGTTCCAGACCTTCCTTGTTACCATCCTTGTCGCCACCTTTGGTGTTGGCTTGATTGCTCTGGTTGGTCTGACCTCCCTCGGCTATATCGCGCCATGGAATGGTCGCTTCTACTCCCTCTGGGATACCGGCTATGCCAAGATTCATATTCCTATCATTGCCTCTGTATCCGAGCATCAGCCTACTGCCTGGCCCGCTTTCTTCTTTGATCTCAACTTCCTCATATGGCTCTTCCCCGCCGGTGTCTACATGTGCTTTCAGGATCTCCGCGATGAGCATGTCTTCGTTATCGTCTACGCTTTGTTCGGCAGCTACTTTGCGGGTGTCATGGTTCGGCTGATGCTCACTCTGACCCCTATTGTCTGCGTTGCCGCGGCCATTGCCTTGTCGAGCCTGCTCGATACCTATATTTCCGCCAAGTCCCCTGACGCCAAGGAAGTGGAGAGTGCTACCGAAGCAGCCTCCAAGAAGCCAGCGAAGCCCATGGCTGGTCTCAGAGGCAGCGAGAAGCCAAACGTCGGCATTTTCCACCCATCATCCAAGTTTGTCGTCGTGGCCTCTGTCATTGTGTACCTTCTCATGTTTGTTACGCACTGCACTTGGGTCACATCCAACGCCTACTCCTCTCCTTCGGTTGTCTTGGCAAGCCGACTGCCGGATGGAAGCCAGCACATTATTGATGATTACCGAGAGGCGTACCAGTGGCTGCGACAGAACACCAAGAAGGATGCCAAAATCATGTCTTGGTGGGATTACGGCTACCAAATTGGTGGTATGGCCGACCGTCCTACGCTTGTTGACAACAACACGTGGAACAATACCCATATCGCGACTGTTGGCAAAGCCATGAGCTCAAGGGAAGAAGTTAGCTATCCTATCATGCGACAGCACGAGGTTGACTATGTTCTCGTCGTCTTTGGTGCCCTCCTGGGCTACTCTGGTGACGATATCAACAAATTCCTCTGGATGGTCCGTATCGCTGAGGGTATCTGGCCCGATGAGGTCAAGGAGCGTGATTTCTTCACAGCCCGTGGCGAGTACCGTGTCGACGGAGAGGCTACTGAGACTATGAAGAACAGTTTGATGTAAGTTCACACAACATTGGCGACGTACGAGATTGTCTTGGCTAACAAGCGAAAACCAGGTACAAAATGTCATACTACAACTACCACTCTCTGTTCCCGCCTGGCCAAGCCGCTGACCGTGTTCGTGGCGTGCGTCTCCCTGACCAAGGCCCAGTCCTCAACACTCTGGAGGAGGCTTTTACCAGTGAAAATTGGATCATCCGAATCTACAAGGTCAAGGATCTTGACAACGTTGGACGAGACCACGCCGCTGTTGCAGCATTTGAAAAGGGACACAAGAAGAAGAAGGCCAGCAAGAAAAGAGGCCCCCGGGTTCTACGGGTAGACTAATTTCTTAATACGGCTATATAGAGGATTTGGGAATAGGGGATACAATAAAAGAGAATGGCCATATAGGCCCTGGAGAGATGTATGGTACGTGCAATGTATATCACTGTATGAATTGAACAGAAATTAGAAAAAGACAAAACGACCGTATTTGCCATGACGCAGCAGATACATGACTAGCAACCAATGGGCATGTATGGAGTCGACTGGTCAGTGACTCGGCTGGCTGTGTAAATGCAGGCAGCTGCAACAGTCCGTGACAGCTGCCACTTGGGCGCAACTGAAAATTTCACCGTCCGGCATAATTCGGTCACTGCTTGCTGCATTCGCGTCTTCATTCTATTTTCAACTGCACACCAACTTCACACTTTTGTCCACGCGCTCTCTCTGCAGCCATGATAATTTGCAGCATTTTCCCCTTGCTCTACACTCATCAACGCCGTATGACTGGTACTACTACACGCAGCCTGTCTTCGGTCTGTTATAATGGGTCACAGATGGAAGCGATGGTACTCATCGACTTCGTCCGAACCAGAAATTGACCTGTTATCAACGGCATTTGGGCTACCTTCTCGAAGGGATCTCGAACGTGCCTCCGAAACGGTCAAACCAAAACCATCTTCTCGCTACGACTCGGACTCCGATGCCACGAGTGATAATGCCCAAGTTGAATTTGAGTCCTATGATAGCTCCGACCAATCGTCCATACACGGGATCACCATAAAATCTAGGAATAAAGGGCTAGATCATTTAGTCTCGCCGATACCCAAGTCCGCGTCGAGAAAGAGACAGCATACCCAGAGCCGAAGTTCGTCGTTAAAATCTCAGCGGAGCACCTTGTCCAAGAAGATCAAAGGCTCTCGAAAACTCAAAAACACGACTCGGGATTACAAACAGCCCTCTCCCACGTCAACACCCAAAGACAAAGAACCTAGTTCCACTTCAACGTCTCCATCGACATATTTATCAACAGCAAATGGGTTACAAGGAAGCCAGAAATCATCGTCTTCCCCCAGCTGGATCAATTCAAATGCTCAACAAGCTGCACCCAACAAGACATCGCAGCCACCGCTTCTATATTCGCAGCAACAGCTTCCGACTTTCCTGCCACATTATGTGCCAACATATCTTTTCCACCAGCAAAAAGACCCCCTCGCAACTCCAACCCCGAAAAGGAATCAAGATGCTTCGTCTTATTCTCTAGGTTCTTATTTCCAAGAGCTACAAGAACTTCAAGAACTTCAACTCAAGTTGGATCGTCTTCGACGAGAGCTTCTGAAAGAGCCCACAGACTCACATCTTCACAAAGACTATCAAAATACCCAAAGCCAGCTCAATAATATTCTAGACTCGGTAGTGGCACGTAAAACAAAAGGCGTGCAGCAGAGCTCATTGAATACAGCAGAAATACCCGCCGACGCAATGAAATCTACAGAACCTATTGTGGATAAAGAGAATGTGGCCCCAGCCCCAGTCAATGATGAAGTCGCAATAGAGGCTCATTTTCCTTCTGTGCCTCAAGGTGGCAGAGATCGCACTTTGTCAATTGCCCATCTGAGGGAGAAAAGCCCGTCCTGTACAATAAGGCACCATTTGTGTTCCTGTTGTGGCAGTGTCCGATCTCGAAATTTTCATGAAAAGCACCCCATTGACATATGGCCTAAACCTGTTTTGAATTTTTGCTCATCATGTCGAGAGGTAACGCTTCAGAAAGGACAAATGGATAAACATCACTTTTGCTTTGGTTGTGGAAAAGTTCGATCCAAGGCTTTCCAGAAGAAACACAAACCCAAACCTGGGCTCCTCCTTCTACCAAACTACTGCGGAAAATGTACTGCCGAAGTAAGGGTAAAGGAAGATTTGGACGATATTTCAGTTCTCGAATTGGTAAGTCTTGGCCCATGTACACTAAGGAAAAACCAATCTCACAACGTGGCAGACAGCACAGTCGATTCGACCTCCGGAGCACGATGGCAGTGTTGCAGATACTGCTTCCTCCACTGTTGCTGACTTATTTAGACACGGCTCACCACATTGCAATTCAGACTTACCGCCAGAGGAAATTGGTGTCAAAACATCGAAGTCAAGAAACGCAGCGAAGCTCCGCCTTGGCCAAGCATCGATTGCAAAAAGTTCATCTGCTCCGGTCAGCCCTGCTGAATCGTCCCCCTTTTATCCCGGACGTAGATCAGGCTCGGCCCAGCGTCGAGCACAAAGAGAACCGGCACCGCACATCAACGGCGAGCACCGACGAAAAACTCATCATTCGGTTATTCAAGGGGAGTATCATGCCCCGTATGTTGAGGAGATGGACTCCGTTTCTGAAAATAGAACGTCTCTCCGGAGCCACAGCCGTGTTGAAAGTTTAGGCGATGAAACTTTCTCCAAGCAATACCGAGAAAGGAGTGACAGGAAGAGCAGTAGGGAAAGGGTTGGAACGGCGGACCAGAAATTAGCTCCGATGCAGAGTCCGGGTGTCATCTATGAACGCACTGCAGCTTTACAGTCCTCCAATTCGTCGGGTGAGAGAACTATACAATGCGATCTCCCTATCGACAGCAGCGGACAACACTCTAAGATGACAAGGGAGAGTCCGCAGTATAATCCACAAGATCTTCCTCATCAAGGCCCCTTCCATGAACCGTCCAAGTTCTCAAAGGGCGTCTTCGGAAAGAACAACAAGGATAGTGGCTGTGGTTCTGGCCAGGCGATTCGGCAAAAGTCGCCACTTGCCGACATTGAATACTCTCATTATACTACAACATTCAGCAATGGAGAAGAAGATAAATCTGAAACTCGCACTGGGGCTACTGAAAAGCCTGAAACGCCCCAATTTCGGTCATCTCGAGGGGCGTTTGGGCCAGACTACAGTCCCAAACGGTCTCACTTCAGTATGTTTCAATTTGGCCGGACAGGCTCTAATCGGTCAGGAACCAGAAGTCCAGATGCAACAGAGAACAATAGGCCGGCGCCGAGCGCCGAGTGGGAAGAAAACAGCTCGCAAATCGGTACGGGCGAATACTCTCAGCCAGGTCATAGAAATTCAACCACCCCGTCCTTTTCTTCAGGTTCAAACGCCAGCAAGCCTACAAACAAGTTCAAACCACACATCCCCAATGAGACAGCATACGCCCGCTCCGTCTTCACAGATTATTCCCGCTCTATCGATAATCCATACTACAAGCCCCGAAGTCGCCCAATCCACAATGCCACGAACAGCGATTTTTGCAGCACGTGGGACTGGAAGAGCAACAGGGGGGCGAGTACCCAGAACCCAAGACCCTATGACCGGCACTTTCACGATGGTGTACCAGAGCCTATAATTGAGGAGCCAGCTTCGCCGCCTTCGTCGCCTGTCCAGCCAACAAAGCTGCTTGGTGAGTTTCCTAAGCCCTTGCGCCATGGTACTAGTATCTGACAATCATATAGAGTTTCACATTCCAAACGACTCCTCCTCATCGTGGGAGCCCGAGACCGAAGAGGATAATAATTGCTTAGCAGAACGTATCGATATTGACCCTACTGTGTCCTTCTCGGAAGTCACCGAGCCTATGAGCGCAATTACGCAATAATGGCAAGTCTTGCTCACGGTGTTTTAGTTCAGACCTGTTGGACGCCTAGCTGGCAATCGCCGAATGTAGTGTTTGTTATCAAGTTGCTTCTGTCGGATGTATAAACGACGAATAATCACGGTAGCTTTGAGCATTTGAACATGCACAGCACGACGAGTAATCCGCAAACTCGCGGATCAGAAGAGTGGCCTAGAGGCAATAATAGTGAGGGATCTTGGGCGGGCTCTGAACGCCCAGCATTCTTGCCCACACCATTCAACCACGAAGCCACAAGGTCTTGCCCTAAATTGTTTGTATTCAGTTTTAGATTTCTATAATCCAGATTTGTCTTTGTTCATGATGCTATTGAATGATCATATCCTCGCATACATCCCTACCTGGGAAAAAAAGAAAAAATATTGATTCGCCATACATGGCCCAGCTCCAACATGGTATAGAGTATTAAATGAAAGTAAAAGCCTCGCGAACCCTTCCCCAGGATCATTTCTTACCGCCCCGCAGGTCATGGTATTTTATCGAGACTCGAGTTAGCATTTCGCGCCTAGTATATCCTCGTTGAGGTGCTAGCAGGCCCAGTAGCAGGAGAACCCTTCCTGGAAAGAGCTGGTCTCGCGGCCCAAAATTCAACGGCCTCCAGTCTCTTCTGTTCAAACAAACGGCTACGTTCTCGCTCGCGATCCACTTGCCGCGATCGTTCCGCAATATCCGCACTGGCCTCATCAGACTTGCGCTTTCGTTCTGTAGCGTCCCGAACTCGCTTCTCGGTTCGCTGACACACAGCGTCTAGCTTCGCGGCTACTTGGGGACTGGCCAGCTCCAACTGTTGTCTTTCTACGGGGCGTGTAATCGAGGATCCTCCCCAGAAACATCTGAATGTGAGTCTGGTTTGATTCCTAGGATCCTGCCCGCCCCAAATCATGAGAGAGTCGCCGTTGTAAATCTTGGCCCAGTATTGAGACGGACCACCCGGGTTCTTGGGGTCTGATGATGCCAAGTTGTACCCATTGATCTTGAGGCCCAGAGTGGCCTTGGTAGATATCCAAAAGTGATATTGGGCATCCTCTTGCGAAGCTTCCTTGCACCATGGCTGATCTCCTGCTGTAGAATGCCTTGACGGATCGAAACCATCTTTCCACAGCATGATTTTGAAGGCGTACTTTGGCACTCGGGGTTCTTGCTTTTCCTTGAAGCTCTCCGTGTTATCTGGACCTCTGCCAAACGACACTAATGAGTCGGTGATTGGGAATGTGATTCCTTGGACACAAGAAGAGGCATCAGTGTCCACTAATGCAAGCGCTCTGTTCGTTAACAGGCTCTCTTGAACTGGCACAACGATTTTCGTATCGGGAGGGCAGGTATCGGGTATTGAGGACGACTCGATTGGCGCCGCTGTTGGCGGGAATTCCACCGGATCGTCAACCATCCTACTATCTTCTCGCCTTAGTCCGACGGGTAGAGATATTGCAGATTGGCCGTTTCTGCCCTCTGGCCTAGGTTCAGGAGCAAAGTATTTCATTGCCAGATCCCAGAGGGCCGTCTTGCCAGGGCCAAACTCCTCGCCCCCTTCCTTTGCCGCTTGTCTGAAAGCATCATGTTGGCGCTGTGTCATTTCGGGATATCGCAAATGCCAAGTCTTCCTGTCTTGCTGCCACCACACCATCTTACTAACAGGGTAGTCGATTTGCCTGCCAGAATTAAGTCTTGTTACTTGCGGCATTCGCACCAAAAGTCTATATTCCTCTAGCATTTCGGGAGATTGATCCTCAGGGCTTCCCTCCGATTTCAATCTCTTTATGATAGGTTTCCCGGGAGGTGTGTTCTCGTCATATTCCTCGCTAGTACCGGGCGATGGTGGCTTTCTCTTACTCGAATTGGGGTCCACGGCAAAGGACAGCCGTTGCGACGCACCCGGTTCTTGAATGACTGAAGCATTGCCTCCAAGACTCTGTGAAGCTACGTTTTCTACCAGACTTTGGAGCTGGTCTGCGGACTGGTTTGGGTATATCGACGTGGTGTTGTGTTGATACGCACGCCGAGTCTTTGCCTTGATTGTGTCCGAGTCTCCTGAGTCGTAGGCTTCGTCCTCATGAGAGTCCAGAATGTCTGTGGCACCCATGCTGTTCTGGTCGGGCAGATTAGGATAATCTTCAGGAATAACACCAGAGGAGCCTATGGCAGAAACACCAACCTCTCCAAACAAGCGTGGTTGTGCACCATGATCCATGTAACCGTTTTCCTTGTCTGAAATATCGCTCATTGAGTCGCTCACTCTGTCATTATCATACGCAACTAGTTGTTCAAGTTGTGACGGATACTCTTCATCATCCGTGATCTCATCATAAGACTGGGAAGCCTGTACAGTGGTGCCGAAGCCACAAAGCCAGGGATGGCTTTCAAGCTCGATTATAGTTGAGCGATTCTCGGGCCGCCTCTGAAGCATTCGCTGAATGAAGTCAATGCCGGCTCCAGATACGGCAAATCTTTGGAGGGGCAAGGTGTCCAAATTCGTTGTCATAATCTTGTGCAGTAATTCTGAGTAGCTGATGCCGGATTTGACGGGGTAAGGTGGTGCGCCGGTCAGTGAGTAAAACAGCACACCTCCAAGAGACCAGATGTCCACCGCATGGTTATATCTCTGTCCAGGCACACGGCGCATCTTCTTGCCTCGGCTTCGGACTCCATTGTCATCATACTCGGCATACTCTGTGTACACTTCGGGTGCACAATACAGCAGAGTTCCGCAAAACGTGCGTAAGAATGTTTCTGCCGTATCAACCATTTTAGATAATCCAAAGTCGGTGAGCTTAACCACCAGGGGATCCATGGATTGGATGAGAATATTGTCTGGCTTAACATCCCGATGGGTAATATTATTGGCGTGTAAATAGCCCAAGGCACTGAGTAATTGCTTTGACATGGTTTGTGTCGTTTCCACAGTAAATGCGCCCAAGTCGGAAATAGTCTTGCCAAGATCACCGTGAGGGATGTACTCCATGATAATAATCAATAAGCGATCCTCCCAATCAAAATTCTCAATATAACGCACAATATTGGGCTAACAATTTGCTATTAGCTCATTCTCTGACGAGACACAAAGAGGCGGTGGACTTACATGATTCACGCGCTGCATAATCTTCATCTCATTCTCAACTTTTTGATCAAGGACACCATTTTTGATAAATCGTCGCTTCTCAAGCTCCTTTGCGGCATAGGGCAGTCCGTCATATTTTGATGTCACCTTATACACCACTGCAAAAGCTCCCTTACCAATCATGCCTATGCGGTTGTATTTCCCGGAGCCCTTCCACTCATTGCGTATCACACCATGAGAGTCCTTTCGCTTAGGAGACAGGCGAGGAGATGGACTCGCCTCGAATGCTACCCTGTTTGCCTGCGGCCCTCCAGGCGCTTTGAAGAGGTCAACGGGCCCAGGGTTGGTCTTGGTATTAGAATTGATACCCGGTATTTCGCCGCTCGCCGGGTGCAAGCCGTGGTGGATAAAATACTCATTGACCTTGTTGAGGTATGCACGGTCATAATCGTCATCACGACGAGGTATCCTGACACGGAACGTCAAGTCCAGAGTCTCGCTATGCAACACAATTCGGATGAGATTCCCAGAACCCAGCACCCACTTGTTTGCCGGTGCCGACTTGTCCTTGGGGTGACGTGTAAGGAGTTGTCTATCGACAAAAGTGCCGTTGGTTGATTGGTCCTCAATCATGACACTTCCATACTCGTTGACATAGATGCGGAAATGGACATTGCTAATCCGGCGCAAGGGATCGTTGACAAAAACAACATCACACCTAGCACTGTTTCTGCCAAAAGCGAATCCAGAAGAGGGGCTCTTGACGGGAGACGAAAGCCTCAAGATGATGGCGTAGTTTCCGTGGCTGACAGGATGCGACTCGAACCGGCTCGCATGGTCCTCCAATTCATAGTCTGGCTCGACATCATCCGCCTCGTTCTTGCCAATAATATACGGAGAGTCTTCTTTAGCTAGTCTCTGGACTTCTTCTCGTGCCGACTCGGAGTGCGGGTACAGGACGCAAATGATGTCAGAAACGTCTTCGTCGGAGAAGCCAGAGTTCTGCTTCCCTATGCGTCGCGGATCGAGGACATTTTGGGTCGCTGGAAAACAGAAGAAGAGGTCAAGCTGTCAGCCAAAGATATGCTCCCTACCAGGACCAGGAATAGATCTCTGATTAACTCGGGTCAACCATACCTTGTGTAGGCTCATCGCCGTCCATTGGAAGCGACCCTACTCGGGACCCGACGGCAAAAGCAGCGTCAACTTTTTTTTGTTTGAGGCGTGGAAATCGGGCTGTGTAGGGTTGTGCAGCCGCCGGCGAGGCAATGTGAAGATGGCAGCCGCAAGCTCAACTCTGTGAGACGTCGACGTCGCAGGGCAAGATGCAACAGTGCCCGTTGTCGAACAGGCGAGGGAATCGGCCACTACAGGCGTAGGGAATACGTATAGCTGTAGTTGCGAGAGAGAATAACGACAGAACTCTGCATGGCCAGGCACTAGCTTTCGTCAGGAAAAAAAAAAAGAGGCAGCTGGATCGGAGCAAGGCGAAAAGGGACAAAAAAAGAAAAGAAAAAAGAAGACAATCGTAGCAGTCGATATGCCTACATGGGGGGAGAAATGTTGAAAAGCAGGGATCATCGATGCCGGACGTTACCAACGCGTTGGACTTGTGACAGGCTGCCATAGCTGGGCTCTCAACTTTACGACTGTTGCCTTTGGCTTGGCGGGGTCGACCTGGTCCGCCAGGGCAACCACCCGTCGACAGACCCCATGGCGGGGGACTCGAAGTGGAAGGAGCGACTGGACGCATCTGCGGCAACCAGCGTCCAAAAAAACATCAAGCTCCGATCCGGTCACCAGCCCCTGGCCAGCCAGGCACAAAATATATGTATAAATGGAAACACCATCACAATGACTTGACTTGAGTCCAATGCCGCCCCAAGGGAGGACCAGACGAAGACGCCTTGGAGGACGTTCCTCTAACGTGTAATTCGGGCCACAAACCACCTCGAATGGGGTCAACTACGGACGTACTCCGTATCATCCCAGAATCCAATGTACTACAGCCAACCAACCAACAGGTCAAGTGCCCGTTCTGGTCCTTCGGTCAACCCTTCCTTCCTCGAGGCCCTAACAAAACCTCCCCAGTGCGGACTCGGGTCACGCTCCCCGTCCCGCGGCGGCACGAGACGAGCCCTCAGCAACATACTCCATACTCAAGTACATACTCGCTGGGGTGTGACCGCGGCATGCCCCAACTCGGAAGCACCAGGCAGTGGCGATTGGCGGTTCGGACCCCCTCCACACAGCAGCAACCAGACGACCAGACTCGCCTGACATGGACCCATCCATATCCCAGCCTGGCCTGGCCTGGCCATCACCAATTAATTCGTGGCCAATCCATGTGCCCAAGTCGCATCGTTGGGTGTTTTGCATGTCAACTATTCGTTCATCTGGCCGGAGAGCTCTGACAGAGCATCTCTGGGTTTTCTACTCAAGATTCCCCCACAAGGTGCCACAAGGTGGCATTTCGTCATGACCAATACCTCGAGCTAATTGCTTTCACATCATCCGACGCAGTAATGCGTATGGACATCAACATCTTCAACAAGATGTGGTCATAACCAACCATTAGGAATTTAGGATTCACTCCTGCAATCGTGCCATCCTCTTTTTCTTCTTATTCTTCATTTTTTTAGCATCCGGAAAAGTCCTCCCGGGTCAACGTCTATTCCAAGTAGGTTCTATGAAAATGAGATAAGAATGCCTAATGAGTGCCAGCTTTTGGTCCTCCAGACCCCCCCGGTTAGGTTATTTGGGCTCTGTTAACAACAATACCATATTCTCCCTTCCCCTTCTACTTTTTGTTCCTAATCTTTGAAGAAAGGTGACAAAACAGAGGCTGCTGATTCCGCCATGTCAGTCTAGCAAAGCCTTCAACTTTAATCAAGGCCCTCCACGTCAAACCAAGAATAGACAGAGAATAGTAAAGCTATAGAAACAAAGAGTACAGTATCAGCCACGATAAACAGGCCGGAACGTGGTATACGCCTTTTCCCAACGCGCTAGTTTGCATTGTTGCCAATGCTAAAATCGACCCAATCCTCCAAATTCGTGAACAAAGAAAAACGCCCGTCTTGTGATATGCATCCAATGGCGCGTGTCGCGTCGCCCATTAATTTTATGTAACACACTGGATAAAGCAGTCACTGCCAAACAAAAAAAAGCCCAGCAGCCTGCTCATGCAACATTCGTTATTCGGTTATCTCTTTCTTCATTTCACCTCGGTGATACTGGCCAGCTTAAAAGGCCTGACCCTGATATGGAGCATGGCTAGGGACTTGACCCTGGTTGTATTGTCCCTGTGGAGGTAAGCCAGATGACGGAGGGCCGAGAGGTCGAGAAGGATTGCCTCCAGGGCCTCCATGAAGAGGTGGAGGCGGGCCACTGGCTCCGCGTCCAGCGCCAGGATATGGCGGTTGAGGGCTAGGGGTCCTGACACCCATAGCTCCAGGTCCTCCAACTCCGAGATTACCGCCGTACTGTGGCGAGTTTGCTGCGGCTCGATGTTGGACGTACTGTTCTGGTGTCATCGCTCTTGCTCCTGGTCCTGATCCCGATGTAGTATAGGTACCCGCGGGCTGCCAGGCCATAGTTCTTTGGCCAGAGTCCACGGGTTCCTGTCTCCCATGACCTGGCCGAGGCGCGTGAGCATTCGAATTCGGCTCCGAGTAGTAGCCTGGCGGTTGACTGCGCATTGAAGGTTCGACAGGTCCTGGGACTTGTTTTCGCGGCACCGCCGACGCACCATAATTAACGGTAGGGCCAAAATTGACATCTGGGATACTGAATTCCGAATTCTTCTGCAACGGAGGCTCTCCACCCCCTACAGTCTTCAACACGCCAGCACGAGGTCGATCTTCGTCGCGGTTTCCATTTGAACCGTCAAATCCGAGTCCTTGGTTGTGAGAGGGCGGGGCCGGCCTTGAATCATATCCAGGTACAGGGCCGCGATACGGGTCAGAGGTATAGTGATCAATGATGTGATCGGGAGTGATGCTGTTGGTCTGTCGTGGGACTGGTTTTCGATGGGGATTGCCGGGAGGACCGCCCCGGCCACCCCCGGGGCCACCAGGCGGTGGCGGCCCGCCTGGTGCAGGTCGATAGTTACCATACTGGCCAGGGGGACCGTTTGGCGGTCCTTGACCTGGAGGGGGTCGCCCGCGCCCATAAGGCCCAGGCGGTCCTGGGGGACCATGAGGAGATCGAGCTTGGTCTGGTCGGAAGCCTTGCTGCGGAGGATTAGGTGATCGTGACGGGCCTGGTCCTGGAGGGTAGGGCGATCGACGTCCTTCCGAGGTGCCAGGACGTGAATTGGGATTCTGGCCGTGGGGACTGGGCGGCCCCATGGGTCCCACGGGGCCCCTTGATCGATGGTTCGGAATCTCAAGGTTTGGAAGGGTTGGGGCCGGCAGGTTCGTGGCAGGTAGTTGTCCTTGACCTCCTGGGTTCGGGGCTGCATCAAGGGTTCCAGAATTAGCGTAAGTTCCCAGTGAATGGTCATGCGAGTATCCCGCGGGTCCGTAGAGCGCACCATCCTCACCATCTCTGTAGTTGGCTGGTGAACGACCACCCTGCGTGTCGGTTTCCATGCCACCAGCCGTGGCCATCTGGGCAAGTGTCGAGCTTGACAGCCGACTATTCGCTCGTCGGAGCTCAGGGGAGTGATACGGGTTGCTGGTGGGTCTAGCTTGCGATCCATGACTGAAGGCTGGAGGGCTTGAAACCGGCTCAGGAGTCTGGAGACTTCTCATGGCTTCCAGATTGTGCATTGGAGGGGGCGGAGATGCGCCTAGCTCTTCGTCAGAGCTTGCAGGCTCGTGAATCATTTGACCGGGAGGGCCTCCACGAAGGGGGGGCTGGTGCCGTGGTGGTGAGCCGCCAGCTCCAGCATCATGTCGTTGCGTACCACCCAGATTTGGGTCTGATACGTTACGCATATGCTGAGGCTCACGACCCGGCTGCAGCTGCTTGCCTACGTTAGTATGAAAGACCCGTAGAAGCAGGGGTAACGATGCGCGCTAATGACGGTGCATGAGATTTAAGGCATACCAAGTTGCCATCATCGGCAAACCCAACCTTGGGTCTACCTCCACTGCCAAAGCTTAGTCTTGCACTGGAACGACTCGCACTACGAGAATGGGATCTAGAACCGTCTTCCAGTGCATTCATTCGTGTCCCGGTGGCGTCCTTCAGTCGCTTGCGCCACTCTCGTTCTGACCATGACGTACTGCCTTCGTCGAGAATCAACGTCGAAACATCGAGTATCTCAAGATATCCGTAGCGCTTGTGTTTGGGCATGGCAAACATGAGCGATCGTGGGTCAAGAACGCTTGCAACCAATCTGCCGGGTCTGCCATACAGACCAAAGGAGTCCCACGTAGGGAATAAGAAACGAAGCAGCATCTCAAAACCGCTGACGGCCGGATGAACCTCGGGCATAATGAAGATGAAGCCCTCAGTAGATGAAGGCGGATCAGAGTGGACGGTAACACGGCCTTCAATCTTGAGCAGGGTTGAAGCGTCAATCAAAGATTTTGCCTGGGGGTAAATCGCATAGGCAGAGTATGCATCGGTAATGGTGGCAATTGGTTGAGACTTCTTTTGCTTTTTCCCGTCCTTTCTGGAATCATAGAATTTGATATCTCCCTTGAGAACAGGGACGTGAGACCGGTCATAGGCAGACCTCTTCTTGAGTTCCTTCTGTTGCTTCTGGTATTCCTTCTCATCCGGGGGGGAAATAACACACCAGCAGCGACGCCACGGCACACCGGCACCGAAGCGAACTCTGACCCACTGCTCCGACTTCATACGTGATCTCTCCATGATCACATTGATGTTGTTTAGTGATTTTCCCTTGGCCGCAATCAAGGCGCCGGTGTAAGCCTCCTGCAAGGTTGAGTGCTCGAACATGGCAAGACGAATTCCTGCCGTCCACTGAATCAGAGAGTGGTGTGAGTTGAAGTGGAGAAGATATCGATTTCTGCCCGCAGTAGATATGCTCAAAATGTTTTGTAACGGCTGCTCATCGTTGGAACGAGTAGGGAGTGATTCGATCTATACCGCAGCGTACATGTTAGACGAATGGGTGTTCGGAATGGGCTCGAAATTTGGGCACTCCCACGACCGAGGCCAACGTACCATCTTGATTGAAGCATCCGTGAGATTGATAAACTTTGGCAGGACCTCGCCGTCCTCGCCGGCCGCATCAAGTTCGGCGGCATCCCACAACGACAAGACTGTGCCGACAAGCTGTGCAAAACATTCGGTCCATGTTCGGTCCGTATTCGGTTTGCCCTCTGTGCAACAATTAGTTAGTCAACCGTTCTGGTCTCGGCGCCACCAAGCCTGTCCAATGTGTTGGGCTGGGGGCGGCGGCGGAGAGGGGAGGTGTGTTCCCGTACGTGTGTTTTGATCGTCAAGTTTCAAAAAGTATCCTTCTTGATACAGTTTGTTGGAGTGGCTATTCAGCAGTGTAAAGATGGGCTGGAGCTCAGGAATGGTGTCTTCGTTAATGTCCATGACGGGCGGCTGGTAGGTCTGAACCATGGACAGTGGTCGCGATGAACTGCGCTGACGTCGGGGAGGAGTATCGTTTGGAGAGCCTTCTGGCGGAGTTCCATAGTCCGGCCGTGATGGCGGCGTGACGGGTCGGCGTACCGCGTCGATGTTGCGATCTAGTTGAGGGAAAGGGTCGGAAACGTGGTGCTGCTTCTTCTTGAGGCTCACGGAGAGGTCGTTGGGGGGCGACGATGATGGCGAAGGGGTCTTTGCGCCAGCGGAGAAGTGGGACATAAAAGACAGAACTGTTCAGAGGCGACGTCGATTGACGCAGGAGTCAGCACATGCAGCATCAAATTGAACGAGAGGATGGGACGTGGTGCAGAAGGCGGGCGAGAGAAGGGCAAGCGGCCAGGTACAAGTAATACCAGTACCAGGGGTGGATGAAGCACAGCCAACATTGAACTTAATATTGCAAGTGGACTGGTCCTCCGCAATGCATGCACATGTGCGCTTGGGATGGGACGGTCCCTGGGTGACGATTCTCGGCCCTCCAGATGTCCGTCGTGTGCTCAAGTGCTGTGCATCCGCGACGCCTCAATGAATGGCCAGCGATCAGACGGACCTGGAACACAAGGCAACATTGATGGAACTGTCAAGTGCGCGACGCCCGGATTCCGCCAGCACTGCCCAGAGGGGGGGGACATTGAAGGGTCCAGTCCAGTCTGGCCAACTGGTCTGGTCCGGCATTATTGGCACATCACCGGCACCATTGGCCGCAGCTCGCCGAAGCGACCAAGCCGACTAGCGGCTGGGCCTGGCTCGGGTGCCGTAGCATTGAACTGGCCTCCCCAGCCCTGGGCGTCCTGGGCGGGCTCTCATGACGGCTGACGGCTGTTCCGGTGGGACAAGAGACGCCGAACCAGGACAGCGCCCGACAGGAACAGAATGCTCGCATGCTGAATGTGAACGAGGTGACCAGCATGCGTCCAGATTGCGCCAGATTGGGCATCATGCGTGGGGACAGGGGTGCATTGCGGACAGCGTCCTTGCGCGCAGCCCTGGCCGTTGTGGCCGTCATGGCCCGTCGTGGGCGTCATGGTCGTCATGGTCGGGGGCAAGTGACAAATTCGGGGCCACAATGCGACCGATGTGGGCTGAAGAACTGGCCGGACTGAGGGCTGGGGGACCTGGGGGAGACAATAATGCGTGCATGTGCACATACAAGTGCGCGTGTGTACCACCTACGACTAGAGGCATGTACTGCAACCAGCCCTTGGCTTGTTGAAATACCTGAGTTGACAGGTAATAATCTGGACTGTGCTGTGCTTGGGTTTGGGCTGTGTGGGCTCGGCCCTGGAGACTGAAGACTAGTAAAGTAATATCGATGGACTGCAGACTGCGGCGCACTGCGCACTGCGCACTGCAGATTGCCTCGCCGGGCCTTGTCTCCATGGCCGGCGCTGTCGGCTTGGCGACTTGTGGATTGGGCTCAATTGAAGGGATTGGACATGAGTGACAAACTAGGAGAGGGTGCACAAACCTCGATTGCGCCCCATCTTGCTTGATTGCTGCCCCTACCCAGGCTTGCCGCAATCACCAGACGGGAGAGAAGGGAAGATACCCCGGAGGTGGACCGGTCAACTCGGTCAAGTTGCGCACTTGTGAATGCGCCGGACCCTTCGGGCAGTGCAGTGCAGCGCAGCGCAGAGCAGAGCAAATTGTTTGCCGGAAGGTCAAAGGACAGCCGTCCAGATAATGAAACGAAATCGCCGCAATGGGTTCTAAGGCTGGTGGGAATTGCTCTTTGAAAAGGCTCCGTCTCGTTGCTGCGTCGTCGTCAGTGGCTGCGTCGCCAAGTCGGAGCTGTTATTTGTGGTCTAGGCCAGGCCGGGTCTTCGCGCAGTCTTGGTCTCAGGTCCGTCCAAGTCGGGACTATTACTTTGGAAACAAGGCTCGGCAGCGTTCCAAGACAAGGAAAACAAACAAGAAGGGGAAGAAAAAAAAATGAAGCCAGCCCAACCAGTGCGGTGGGCGATTCTTGGAGGTAGTGGCAGTCGTGATAGTCGTCCTCTGAAGCGAGATGGCGACGCGGTCGAAAATCAAGGCCTGGAGGAGAGCAAGGAAACCGGCTCGCTTTCCGTAGGTCGAGTCAAGTCGTCCTTCACAACGGCACGCTGTGCCAACTTAATAAGTAATTAAGTAGCTAAAGGCCGGTAGGGTGGTGTGCGCGGAACAGTCGGAGGCCACTTGAGTAGCTTGCATGCATGATAGGCCCGAGGTGACGAAGCCAAGCCTTTTTTTTTTTTTCCTCTTTTTGTTTTTGCGTCGATGTCGTCGTCTGGTGCTCGATGTAAGTATTGGTGCCAAGAGGCGGTTGCGAAATATCCAAGGGGGGAATAGAGAGAGAAAAACACATGGGAAAGAAAAGGGCAGGAGAATAAAAAGACATGAATGAAAGAATAAATCCAGATGTCCTGGCACTTACCAAAAGAAGCTAAAGAACGTACTTAGATGCTGGGCTGTAGCTTCGCTTTTAAAAAGGTTCCTTTTGTTTAGCTTTCCTTTCCAGCCTGCATCCAAGGCAGTTCAAGGCAACGCGGTCAAGCTAAAGGGCTCGTATAGCAAGATAAAAAGGCAATGTCCAAAATTAGCCTGCACATAGACGAAAGACTCGAATTTCGCTTTGTTGGAGCCCTTGCACTTTGCGCGACAGAAAATGCGACGGGCTTGCACGCTATTATGCGGCCTATTTGGCTCGGGGCCGCGGGCGCCAAATGCGGTTGCTATGTGATGACTTGGGCTTTTGTTCTCAAAGAAGAGGTCAAAGGCCCGAGTGAAGAGCCTGGTAACAGTAAATCGTCAAGGTCAGAGTCGTCCACGTCAAGTACACGCAGCCGGGGTTGCGATGGTGCTGCCGCCACACAAAAGGATGGCAAGCCAACGACGTAATGAGAGGCCCGCCAAACAGGCTTTTTTGTTGTACAATATTCCACGCGGTTCAATGGTCGATCATCGGAGTGCGATCTGGCGGGCGGGCGGCACAACCTGTCGGCCCTAGATTCGCAGATGCCTCGACTCCAAGGAAATCGTTGAGGCTGCGGCCGAGCTTATTGGTTTGAACCTTGTTGAAGCGTCACAGCCAACGTCACCCAGAACGGCTGAGAGGGGAGAAATTAGGCGTGAAACTTTAACACGGGAGGCTGTAGGTGTATATAATGGTTGTTTTTTTTTTTTTTTCGATGGCGCCAAACGAGACGAGCTCTATGCAGGAATGACTAGCCTCGATCGGCAAGATACTCTGGCCTGCTGCGTAATTGTACCAGACTCTACACCCGGGCGACGGCCCTTGGGGAACAAAATGCACGTAAACGGCGGCAGTGAGCCATCTCGAAACGAAAAATTCAAACAGCCCGAGATGCCGTCCCATGGGGAGGGGGCCAGGCGCTTCTAAATAAAAGCGCACGTCTATCCCCCATCTTCATCCCCATCCCGTCCCATCCCATCCTGCGCGTTGTCGCCCAGCGATGCCAGTTGAGCGTCTCGTGTCTGAGGCGTCTCATGATCCCCCTTCCATCCCGACGAGGCCGAGTCACGGCGCTCCAGACTCGGTAGGGCCCATCCTACACCCTGCCGTGCGCCTTGTCTCCTCGCAGACTCGTCGCCAATCCAGAGCATCATCAGCCCGGCTATCCAGACTCGATGTAGTCGGCGGCTGGGCTTCGACTAAGCCACCGCCCATCTGCTGGGTCCGCGTGCCTATCATCAGATGCACCTCGGCGGTTTTCCTGCTCACTCGTTGGGAGCGTGAGAGGGTACGAACCACCAAGCCCTCGGCGCCAATGGTGCATGATACACAGGCTGGGCCAAGAAAGACATGGGGCCTTGTGGGTGACGGTGGGTTTAATAATAGCCTGCCGCTTCAAATGTTCGCAGATGGTGCGAATCCCAAGTTCCACCAGCGGTTGTTTCCAACGTGTACATATCTGAACTGTTTCATCAGTCAATCAAGGTATGTGTGCTGCAGCAATAATACGTAAAGCATTTTCCTGTCCACTTGCTGCCAGGTACTCCGGACGTCTTGTTGCATTAGGTATTTCCGGCGTCTCCGTTGCTTTTCATCTCTTCGAGTGCTCCGTACTACATGTTGTGTACGGAGTACTGTACGCAGACCATGAGACCATGAGACGACGCCAGCTTGTCGGGTGTTCTGTGGCCACTTTGACCAGTCAGTAGCACCACGGAGTAGCCGCCAATTGTCCGTGATTAAAGAGAGCGTTGCTATGGACGGAGTAATACATGATGATTTCCCCCGTGTTACGACGAGGCCAACGGCATGCAATGAGTTGGCTCGGGCAGGGGTGAGGACGACTCGGCCACCAGATCTCTGGTCAATATTCTCTCTGTGTTACGGAACCCCAATCCGCTTGGCATGCCTTGAATTGTTCGCGCAATTGACCTGCAGATGCTAGCACTGCCAAGTCCCAAACTGTGACATTGCGTGGACAAATCGCCAAACCAGCCCCCCCTTCGAACATGCTCACCTCCCAGCGTAGAGCGGAAACAAACACAGTGTCCAGATGTGCGTGTTTCGACGACCAGACATCGCTTGGCCGCCCCGGCCGGAATTGTCTGGATATTGCAACTTCCAGACACTGCCGTGAGCCGGCCAAGCCAAGACTGGGGCCAAGAGCCAAGCGCCAAGCGCACCATTATGCCCCTGCTGGGCGATACGCCGGCGGTCTGGTTCAGCTTAGCAGCGGTGCTGTGCGCAGAGGCGTGACTCCAGTACAAATTGCGGATACGAGCACTTGAGAGGCCAGGCAGAAGCAGGGGGCTGGGCACCTGGGGGCTGAAGGGCTGGCTGCCCAGGCGGTCAAGTCAACCAACTGACTGTGTTGCAAAGCTTGCGCGGCACTCCAGATGTCTGGTCCCATTCTTCCAAATCGACGGCAGCTGCAGGCGGGGAAAGAGACTATGCGCTTGGCCTTTGGAATCTCGGCGGCTGGCCAAGGCCGCCCGTTGCTGGGACTGATGATGATGAGTTCTTGTCATGCTCGATGCAATCAATAGTCTGGTGCTGGGCAATACCAAACATTCTGCACGGTGTTGGCGCCATGCCCACATGTGCAGGAACAGGTAATTTCTCGAATTTACGGAGTAAAGTAAGACGTCTGGTGCTTCCAAGTCGGCTCGTTGTGCATGTGGAGGCAAATCAGGGCTACGGAGTACTCTCTGGCGCGTCCTCTGACACCAGCCTGTCGCAGAACCAGCCATGTATTGCGATTCGCGAA